CTGCAAGCCTTTGATGCAGATACGGGCAAGTTTATTGGCAAATGGACAAGTTGTTTCTCTGTTGGGCAACCATACTCTGTCAGGTTAGTTAATTTTAAAGAGAATATATTTTGTGAGACTATATTCATCCCCTATGCCAGTTAAAGATAAAACATCCTTAATATGCCATCCAGCCATTGGCTGCTATCAAGCATTATTACATTACACTCTGACTGTTGTCTTTAGAACTGTGATGACCAATGTATCTTTTATTCCATGATTCATAAATTGTTCAATCTTTTTCAGAATGAGTAAGGATAAAACGCATTTCATCGTTGCACTACTTCAGCAGAGTAAAATTCTTTTAGTTGCCACTCCACCAAGTGCAGGACCAATAGGCGACTGCAAGGTCTTGGGTTCTATAGATCTACCAGAAAATACCGGACCGCATCTAGTGGGAGTTAGCAAATCAACAGGTGCTTTTTATGTGGCTGAACTTAACACACAGACATGTCAGAAATTTGTACCCATTGGACTACATAGAATTAATATAGATTAAATATGTTTTTCTCTTGCCATATTATTGTTCCAATTAAAGAGGATATTATATTTTTGTGATTAAAATAAAAAACAGTGATGTAGGCTAGACTTAGCCCCGGTGTGTGTCACAATGAAGAGTTATATGGATATGTTTTGTGAAAGAGTATTAAGGTAACTTACAGTACTAATAATTACAATAACAAAAGAACTATGAAGTGAGTAACTGGCATACGAGTCAGCAGAAAAGTTGACATGAATAATGATGAGCTAAACGTGGCAATTGGTGATAAGTGCTCACAAGTGAAGTGTAAAATTATGTTAATTTATGATCAAATTTTTAGAATAGGAATCAACCTGTACACAGTTGCACAGGATATGTGATAGCTCGAGGTGAGCAGAATGGTGTTAGTGCATTGGACACACCCAAGCTGAAACACCTAAGGCTTAGGAAAGTGTGGTAGCTAAATTAAGAGCACCACTAACACCTATGCACTATCAAACAAGAACAGATGTACAAGGACATATGTGAGTACTTTTAATGATTTATAAATGTGAAATTACGTTCCTATAAAGTTCCATATATATTTATATGTTGAATGGTAATTGTGCAAGTAATGGGATACATGTAACCCCTACGTGGTATGTGGTATTAATACTTACCTTGAATATGATTAAAGTGGAAATGTTGGACATATATTGGTATTGTTTATGAATTTATATTATTGTAGTACTGAATTCCATTTATTTGTGGTATACGGTAAAACCTCGAATTGAAGCCCAATGGGCATAATCTCGAGAAGAATCCCATCGAATTTAAGCCCTCTTTTTAGTTTGCAAATTTCAAGATATCATATGATTATTTTCGAGATGGTACAGTACATGGCAGCGGTTGAGGTTTGGACTTTCGCTCGTGTCCTTGGACAAGGCACTTCAGCTACATTGCTTCAGTCCACCCAGCTGTATCAATGGGTACCAGCAAACAGCTGGGGACTAACCTGCAATGGACTAGTGTCCTGTCCAGGGGAGGACAACTCTCATCCGCTTCACACTACAGAAACTGGGGATAAGCTCCAGCCCTACGAGCCCCAGTGGCTCGGAAAGGATTTAGTAGTAGTAGACAGTACATACACTTATAAATTTCAAAGAAACAAAATAAATTATAACCTTGGTTTATACAATAGTTTAGGTGATTTATTGCTGGTTAATACACTCTATGATACACATTGATGTTACAGTAGCCCTATTTGTTGTTTTAAAATACTAATTCCCAAAATTTACAGCATTCATTTTGAAAAGAAGCCCCTCTTTTCTTTGCAAAAGTAGAATCGAAAATTCGAGGTTTTACGGTATATGCCAATGGTGCCTTGTAGATAATAGCTCTGTGTACAAAAAACATGGTAAAATATCGGGTGCAAGATCATTGTATTTATTGATTGATCGATAACTTTATTGATTTGCATCCACTGGTGGAAAGCTTTCCAACACAAAGATAAAAATTGATAAATAATAAAATTAATAATAATAAATAAATATATTTAAAGCACCTAAATGAGAGATCCACAAGGTGCTATAAATGCAGTACAGTATTATTATCATTATTGGTTGATGATTGATTGATTTATAGACTACAGGTTATAATTATTATTAAATATTAATATATGTAATGAGTACACAATTCAAATTAATGTTGAGGGAAGGGGGTAAGCATGATGTCAGAATACTACAACCTCAGTAACACCTTGGGGTTAGGCTCTAATATGGGCATGGCACTAGGGGAACAAACTGTTTTCTTCAATCTGCCCTCCAGACTCCGCCTAGTCATGTCACTATCTATGATGAATACTGAATACTACCTTGATTTATGTTTTTTTTTCACCCAGTATCTGCTGCAGGCTGACTGGGTTCTGTTTTCTTGGCCGCGTTCTTCTATGATTCTCTTCTTCCGGAAACATTTAAAAACACGACTGCTAGTGCAAAAGTGTTTAATAATAAAAATTTATCAGTAGAACTGGTTATGAGCTTATACAACCAAATAGTTACATTGAAATGGTTAAATGATGTTTGTGGTGTTGGCCATCCCTTTAAGACGACTTCTATCACAGTCCTTTGCATTATGCATTCTAATACTGTAGCTATCTTTAACGTTTTCAGATTTTTTTCAATTCGCTGAATAAATAATATCGTTCCTAATTATTCGTATAGAAATATTTGATTAGCTGGAAATTTAAAATTATTTGTAGATCTGACTCTCAGTGGATGTTACCAACATATTATTAATTTTTATATATTCCTGTTTTCATTGCTTCCTTTGTCAATGTTTGTGTAGATGCATGCTTCACCTATTCTTTTGATACAGTATTTTTTGTAATTAGCCGTTTCACAGGCGTATTTCCGCACAGTAACCAAGACAAGTTTTTAAACATTAAAATGTATTGAAGAGGAATTAAGTTGACAAAGACAATAGGTATTTACATTATTACAAAATTATTAAATTATTGACATGCGGTAAGTAGTTAAAAAAAAACTAAACGCTAATTAATTATTTACTATGGAAATATGTTTATTGAAGAGATGATTGCTGCCCTCTATAATTTGTGATTACTTCAAACTTTTGTGGATTTTCTTCATCGATTCTGCAATACTTTTTAAATGTTTTATTACTCTTTAATAAAAGGAAGGAAGAAGATTTTTCCATTGTATTTTATGAATGGCACGAATAAAGTTTGATTCGATTTGGAGGTCGATTTTATAATATAAACACCAACTGTCACCCCACACTGTCACCCACTTGCTCTTGTAGCTGCCAGAAGAATAAAATTGCCGTTCGTCATACAAAATGAAAATTCAACTAGTAATAATAGCAAGACAAGTTTTCCCACAATTCCAGGCTTTCACTTCCATTTGAGTAATTAAAATTCCACCAGCAACTGAGTTGTTTTATTTATTTATGTTTTTTTTTAAAACATATTTTATAGTGGGCGATTCTAGCAGCTATGCCAACTTATTGAATACAAACATCAACAATAATCAAAAATAAAGTAATAATACAATGGAACAAAGACACACACACACACACACACACACACATATATAT